TCCAATACTTCAAACAAAGTGTTTGAACATGGTTCAACTCTCTATGACGTTGACTTCACAACACGTTTCGTTATCTTTTTTTCAGTCAATGGTGTAACACGACGTTCCAATGTTCCTGTAAATTTAAATAAATATTACTTAGTAAAATATATGATAAGTTACGAATTTAAAGAAATAATACCTGCATGGTTTCTTTTCTTGTAATATCACTGTTGAATAGAGGCTCGAAAAAACTCCATTAACATAGTAATGGGTAATTTCTGGGAATGATGACTTAGAGTGTTGATTGATTCTGCACGATTAGACGTCATGAAACCATATATTTCTCCAAGTTGATGTACTCTTGACCATCTTTCAAGCCCGACATCTTCTAGTGTTTGAGCACATTGAGGTAAAACACGTCTTAAACAATTTATATGCTTATTAAAATCCAATTCCCGATAAGCTTTTACAGCCTTCCAGTATGTCCATTTGTGATTTTTTATACCAGAAGACCTTGATTTTAGATTTCTGTACAAATGAACACCACAAAGTCTATGAAAAGCATCTGGGAAACACCTTCTAACAACGTTGTCAATTGAGTTTGCCCTATCGGATATGATTGTCAGATTGCTAATAGGACCTATGCAATCCCTAAGATGCCCCATAAACCATGTCCATGAATCAGAGGTTTCAGATTTGCCAACCCCGTAAGCTATTAGCAGTATCCCATTGTTAGCATCCATGGCTACTGCTAATAAGTTTACTCCAAGGTATCGACCTTTCAAATGTGCTCCGTCAACAATAATAACTGGGCGCATTCAAGTAATAAACGAACGAATCTACAAAATCATATACACAAGAAATATAATCATTTAAATGTGAAATGCATGTAACTAACAAAAATGAGTCAACAAAATTATAATGATTTACTAACCGCAGCACCAATGGCGATAAACAACAACTCAAAGCGTCCATCTCTATCTGTTTTGATATGAGTTACTGACCTAGGATTTTTCAGCTATAAATTGTGACAATAAGCCGGCAGTTGGGCAAACGATGCTTCTGGCGACCCCCTCAACAATTCCAAGGCATAACATTTGGCTCTCCAAGCTTGAGAATATGAGATACTAATCTTGAGCCGAGCATTCATGTCAGTCATAATTTCATGTCCTCGATATACCCTTCCATTCAAAAACATTAACTCAGACAAAAAACCACCCAACACCTTTTTGTTTGCCTGTCTATGGTGAGGAAAAACTTAGGTTCTTGAACATGTATGTTTATCAATAAAAGTCCTAACTTGAAACATTTCACAATCTTTTATCCTCTTTGCAATCATACGCCATGTACAGTTTTTGTCAATCATACACTTTGTTTCGAAACGATCTTTGCTTGATTTGTTAACTTTTAGTTTATAGCCATCTTCCACACATTTCGTATACAAAGCTATCTTCAAGTCTTCCTTTGTATCAAAACAATCATCTTTCTTGATACGAATAAATTTTGTGTAACAATCAACTGCTATCTTTACCAACTCTTCTTCCGGTATCTGAAGTAATTCTGGTATATTTCAGTTATACTCTCGTGGCATTTTCTTCTTTTTATTTTCTTCGGGGACTTTTTTTTCTTCTTTTTCTTCTTCAGGGTTATATGAATTACAGAATGGATGTTCAACATGTTCATTCACAGTCGTAACTTCCTCCTTATTATCATCAACAACATCTTCCTCGGCAGCGGTTGTTTCATCATCAAAATTCGAGTATTGACCAATATCAAAATCATTACATGCAGGGTCTGTTTCTTCTTCTGAAACATCATCAAAATCTGAGTATTGACCAAGATCAAAGTCCGGGTATCGACCAAGATCAAATTTAGAATACTGACTAGTACTCACAATTTTTTCTGTTGGCTCATAATCGTCTAACTGGTCAATACGAAAACCGGAATTTGGTGCTGAAAGTTTATTGGGATTTGGAAAAAGGTTGTGGGTTTTGAGATTGTGTTTGATATTGTGTTTGGTATTGGAAATGTGGTGAAACAAAATTTTCTTGGTGATGAAATTGTGGTGGAACCATTAAATTTTGAGGTTGATAACAACGTTGTACATTGTGAGCACCATAAACTGGGGTTGAAGAACTTAGTTGATTACTACCCGCTACTGACCCAACTTCACTACTTCTAGGTTCAACAACATACAATGTAACATCATCTTCTTGCGAAACACTAATGTAAGCAATGAATTGTTCAACATCTTCATTGTCGGTTAACAAATAAACTTTACATTTTCTATGATAAGATAGCCTAAATCCACTTAGAGGCTCTAAATTCAATTTCTTTGCAACACGTAACATTATAGTTTCATAAGTTAACTTTTTTAATGACAGTTTTAGTTGAAGATTCATGGGTAAAGTCACATATTGTAAAACACCATGAACATTCTCCCATGACCCTTCAAAACACAAATCTATCCAAACATGGTCAACATTAGGTGATTTCATTCTACAAATTGTAAATTAATTTACTAAACAAACGAGCTATAAACTACATATCATCACTAACTTAGAGAAAAATATACATTTATTAAGTTGATAGTTGATAATTTGGGAGAGAAATCATTGACAAATTATATAGAAATAAAATTATGTAAAAAAAATAGAGATGGGGAAGGATGTCGTTGGATATAAAAACGGATGTCGCCGGAGAGAGTGATAGATGGAAATGGAATGAGTTGCGATTTAGGGATTTAGGTTATGAGTTGTTGCTGCTGCGTAGTTATATACCCAAAACATTTGTGTTGTGAAACTAAAACTTGATGCGAAATTAAATTCGTGTTGCGAATTCGAAAATCGAGTTGCGAATTTGAAATTCAGTTGCGAATTTGAAATTCAGTTGCGAATTTGAAATTCAGTGTTGCGAATTTGACTATCGCGTTGTGAATTTGACTTTTGTGTTGCGAATTTGACTATCGCATTGCGAATTTGACTTCTGTGTTGCGAATTTAACTTCTGTGTTGTGATTTACAAATTCGAGTTACGATTTACAGATTCGCGTTGCGAATTTGGAAATTGGGATGCGAAATTGGAGTTCGTGTTACGAATTTATTGGTCATTTTCGCAAATTCAAAAAAAATTGGTTAAAATCGTATATTATAAGACATTTTTGGTCACTGAAGTTATTTTCTCTTTTCTTTTTTGTGTGTGAAAAATAATGGCTTAATTATAAAAAAGTGTTCAAACTATACTTATTTTTGTTTAGGTATCTAAACTTTTTTCTGATCAAAATAAGTGTATAACGTTTTCGACGTTATCATTTTTAAGAATATGATTCATAACAATCGTTAAAAATCAATCAACCAATTAATGGTTGACATGTGGCTTAATTTTAAATTTCCTTTATTTTTTAAAAATTATAAATTAAAAAAAATCCAATTTTCTTCTTTTTAGAAAATACCTCAAAATTCATAAAACTCTAAAATATTTCAAAAATCTCGTCCCCAAATCAATTCTGTCTTCGACGACCGTCACTGTCGGCAATCACCCACTCATCAACCGACCACTATCCACAACCCATCGATTGTGATGCATGTAAAATGATAAAAGAAAGAAGCCGGATAAATGATAGAAAGATGTGAAATTTGGTAATAACATACACAAAATCCATGGGGAGATACAAGAAATCAAACGCTGACCACGAAGGTTCTTCATCACCTGAAATGCTTTTCAAGAAACTCCTTCAACATATATCGTGTACAAAGAACCCAAACCATGAAATCATCAGAGCAGTGACTGCCAATAGCCCAAAACTTCCTATACTTTGCAAGAGTAAACGTGGAATGAGCAAACTAAAACAAGAAATGATACGTGTACGAGTTCATGTAAGAGTAAGACAAATGGCTGAAATGCTTTGTGTGATGGAGCAGCTAGTAGTCTAGTACATTAGCACTACGAAATGAACCAAAGGACCAGCAGAAAGGTGGACAACAATTTATGCCGCCACAACATATGCAATAAATGATGAAAGGAACCCTCCCAAAGACCAGAAATCTGTCCAGTTTCACTTGCCCGAGGATGATGAAAGTTGATGAGAGATCCAGAAACATTTTTTAAGGTTAACAACGCAGATTTTTTTAATAGAGTGGAAGTGATGATGAGTTTGATGATGAAGAATTTGGTTACGATCATGGACAAATGCAAAACAAGATGATGGGTATGATGGGAAAAGATCATGGGGTCAAAAGGTAAGATGAATGGTAAAAAAAGAGAGAGGAAGTGGTGGGTGGCAAGAAAGGGGTAGCTATTGACATGTCCGTGGTTATGAAAGACATGGGGGAGAACAAAGAAGAGGAACATTGTAATGGTGGAAAGAAAGGAGAGGTGAAGAGAACAGCAAAGGAAAGAAAGGATGAGATAAACATGGTGGTAAAAAAGAGGTGGGGCCGGTTAGTGGCGGATCTGTCCTCAATTCAGGATGGATATGTTTTTCTTCTCTTAATCATATATTTTTGTTGATTATGTACATCCCGATATGTGAACCTACCCTTTAAGAATAGTTTTAAATCTATCATTAATGGAGTGGAAATTTACTTGAGTTTTTCAAGAAGAATAAATGTGAAAGATGATGATTAGGTTATAAGTTAATGTTAATAATCGAATCATTACTTTTGAAATATTATTAAAAAAAGAAACTTATTCATATTTTAATTATTATTTATAAAATAATAAGGTGATCACTTTGTTATAAAAAGATAATATTAATGATGAAATTAATACTTTTGAAACATTGCTAGGGAAAAATAAATTTGTTCATATTTAAGTGATTACTTATGTAGGTTATAAGTTAATGTTAATGATCGAACCACTACTTCTGAAATATCATTAGGAAAAAAACGTATTCATATTTTGATAATTATTTATAAAATGATAAGGTATAATTTAATTATTATTTTTGAAATATTATTAGGGAAAAGAAAAACTTATTTATGTTTTAGTGATTATTTATGTAGTTTACCGACACTTATTTGCAGACAAAAACCTTATTTTCTTTCGCCATTTGGGACCCTAGCCGCTGCTATTGTTTATACTCGTGTTGCTGTTATCTCTGTCGATTAGTCCACTGCTGTTGTTCTTTGGTGGTTCGTACGCCGTCTATTGCTGCTCCAACCCTCATCTCTTACCCCTAAAGGTTAGTTCTTTTAACACTTTCTATGCTTTTTATGGGGTTTTTTTTTTAAATTTGTAGTGGATATATTGAGGTTATGCTCTGTAAATTCTATTGTTGATGCTTGGTGTTGCTGTGTTTTCTTTGCTCTTGGTGTTATTTTGTTGATGACCCATGGAATAGAGGCTATAGTGGTCTGCTATTGTTGTCTCACCTTCCATTGATCCTCTCTAATCTTGTGAAATAGTACCAAACGCAAATAATTTATGCTTATATATATATATATATATAAAAGGCTTTCTTTTTTATTTATTTCAGTTCTATTCTAGGAGTGGGGATAACTTGCTATTGCTAATGCTAGCTTGTTTGAACATAAAACTGAGTCAGGATCCACATTTATTTTGGTTCTAATATTAGTAATTGTATTGCTAATATGAGTTTTTAGCTCATCTTCACCGAATTGCTGCATCACTCGCCGCTCATAATCAGGGACGGACTGACACTAGATTTCATGTCGGAGGTGCGAACGAAGTTTGATAAGTTTAGTAGGAATTTGAAATTTTCAAGTGCGCGACCGAGCCCCTATCGATCCAGCAACAACTGAGCCCTGCACATCGATTCTTAAACTAGGTTAGTGCAACAAATTAAGAGACTTCCAATGAAAATGCCTTTTGAGCCTGGCCTAGTACATTTGAATCGATAATAGTGAATGAATCAAGTAATTACTAGTCAAATTTGAATCAATAATCTATGATTCTTCTGCCAGTTGATACCAGATGATTAAAAAAGTTTTTTCTTATTGCCATTTTAAAAGAGAAAAAGAAAAGGTTTCACCTTTTTCTTTGTAGAAAAATGATTTAGCTTTAACCATTCAAAAGATTTCCTCTGTCATTTCTTTTCTTGGTTCAGTTGTGTGCACAAGTAATTATCAATGAGCTTGAAAGTTTTATATCTCTAGTGTTCTTGATTTAAATAATCTGTTGTGGAATGAATTTTACAGCTCGAAAACTTGGTTTGGACTACATGGTTTGTAGGATGTGAAACTGCAACTAGTCTAATGAATTCGGCTTCCCGCGGAAACATTGTATCATGATTTAGTTTCTGATATTAATCCATCGGTTATAGGATGCTTTTTTGATGAGTCATCGGCTATGAAGAGTTACAAAATCATGGCACAGTTTTAGACGGTAAAGATGGAAGAAGGCAGCGGCGATCAAACGGGGTGCGAGAAGTTCCAGAGGGCGCTGAGCGAGTGCCACCAACGATTTGGACTGGGTGCGACACGAGACGTGGCCTGTCAGCACTTGAACCGAGCCCTAGCGTAGTGCTTGGTCTCGTTTCTGTTCCCTGAAGAGTCGGAGGCGGTTAGGACACTGTGCAGCAGCGGTGGAACCTGGCTGAAGCGGTCCCAATGCCAACAAGCTCTGCTTTCTCTCTCCGTCTGCATCTCTTTTCATCAGCGGGATTGAATGATCTCGTCTGATCTGGTGAACTTTTCCCTCGGAAGAATTACCACTTTGACCACTATGGATTAGAGAATATAAGAGAGAGTGACGAACGATTTGTATATGTTGGTAAATTCCATTTCCATATGCAGAATTGTATGCATGGTTTGTACATAGATAATCACAAATAGACAGTTGTTTTGTCCTGCAATAATGATAATTAACAGTTTGATTACGTCTAAATGTTGGTATGAAATAAGTAAACAAAATAATAACAAATTTATGAACAATTATCAGTTTTTTAGATTACATTGCATCGTCTAATCAAGTAATGGAAGAGAGGAAGGACGAAGATGATAGATGAGAGAACGGTGCGCTGATAGATGTCACTAGTTTTTGTAATACTATAATTATTATGATATTAATATTAGCGTTACAAGAATATAAAATATCTTATGGTTGATGATAGATGAGAGAACAGTGTATTTATAGATGTCACTCATTATTTATAATAATAACGTTTGTAAAAAACATCATTCAATAAACACGAAATATGATCTGATTTTTAATTTTTGTTATTTTTATAAAATCTTAAAATTCTTATTTTTTTTAATCCTAAATTTCCCAAACTCAAATCCCTAATTCTAAATTCATATACGTCCACCTATTCAACCATATTGTACGGCAACCACTAATCAATCAATCCCCTTGTCATCGTACGAAATCCCTAAATTTCCAAATAAACCACTCATGCGCCACTGAATCAACCATCATCACCCATCCCTTCCATCGTGGACCCCGTTATTGTTAATGCCATTCTACTATCGCCACAACAAGAAAATCAAAGATAAAAACGAGTAATCAATTTTTTTTGGATTTGTCAAAATGACCAACTAAATCGCAATGCGATCGATAATTCGTAACGTGATCTCGGTATCGTAAATCAGTTTCCAAATTCGCAACGCGAACTTAGACTATCGCAATGCGAACTTAGACTATCGCAATACGAACTTGGACTATCGCAATACGAACTTGGACTATCGCAATGCGATAGTCGACTATCGCAATGCGAATATGTAAATCGCAATGCGATAGTCCAAGTTCACATTTGCGATTTATTCCAAATTCGTTGCGATAGTCCAAAATCGCAACGACTGGTGGTATTGCATTTGTTTCTTAAGAATTTTCTCTAAAAAGATAGTATTCGCGCGGACGTGTCAAAGACACGTATTACCACGACCACGACCACGACCACGAGACGAGACGAGACGAGACGAGACGAGACGAGACGAGACGAGACGAGACGAGACTAGACGGACGGCGGCGGCGGCGCGCGAGAGTCTCCTTTGTTCTCTATCACTCAACAAGGAAGTGGGAAAGCTAAGCCTTAAATACCATTCCCAATAGTGTTTCCAATACTATGTGGGATTGAGCATTACCAACACTTGTTTCCAATACAATGTGATTATTCAGGAAACAATAAACAATCATGCACCTTAAAACAACTGAATCAGCAACCAATTGCATTAGTATTATACGATTACATATGTCATAATTAAAAGTCAATCTACAATCAATCGCGATTATTGCAATTTTAAGCAAAACATTCAAAAATAATATCACTATTTAAGGCTCAATCCCACATAGTATTGGGAACAAGTGTTAGTAATGCTCAATCCACATAGTATTGGAAACACTATTGTGAATGGTATTTAAGGCTTGGCTTTCCCACTTCTTGTTGAGTGATAGAGAACAAGGGGGTCTCTCGCGCGCTGCCACCGCCGCTGTCCGTCTCGTCTCGGGTCGGGGTCGGGGTCGTGGTCGGGGTCGGGGTCATGGTCGTGGTAATACGTGTCTTCGACACGTCCGCGCGAATACTATCTTTTTAGAGAAAATTCTTAAGAAACAAATGCAATACCGTCGTTGCGATTTTGGACTATCGTAACGAACTTGGAATAAATCGCAACGCGAACTTGGACTATCGCAACGAATTTGGAATAAATCGCAACGAACTTGGAATAAATCGCAACGCGAACTTGGACTATCGCAACGAACTTGGAATAAATCGCAACGCGAACTTGGATTATCGCAACGAATTTGGAATAAATCGCAACACGAACTTCGACTATCGTAACGAACTTGGAATAAATCGCAACGCGAACTTGGACTATCGCAATGCGAATATGTAAATCGCAACATGAACTTGGACTATCGCAATGCGATAGTCGAAGTTCGCGTTGCGAATCTGGAAACTGATTTGCGATACCGGAGATCACGTTACGAATTATCGATCGCATTGCGATTTAGTTGGTCATTTTGGCAAATCCAAAAAAAGTTGGTTAAAATCGTATATTATAAGGCATTTTTGGTCACTGAAGTTATTTTCTCTAAAAACGACTTTCCTGAGACAATCCCACAAACAATGCGCTAGTGATTTGTAGTGAATAGGGATAGACATGGATTGGGTCATATTTTTTGTCCATCTAATTCGGCTTGAGAATAAGAAATCATCTATTTGAGATTCGATTTAATCTAACCAAAATAAGATTTATCCGATCTGAATCTGATCTAATATATAACTTAAAAATTTAACTTGATCTGACCTAAAATAATAATAAAAAATATTTTTATTCAATAAAAACAGTGAGTTAATTGAAATATATATATATATATATATGTATTATTATAATTATTCTTAAATATATAAGGTAAAATTACATATTTTTTCAGATCGGGTCGGGTATTTTTCACCTTAAAGCCAAACCCGACCCGACCCGAACATCACTTCAAAAAAAACCCAGACCAGACCCGACCCAAATCGATTTTTTTTAAAAAAAATCCAACCCGATCAGGCCGAATCAGAATCTGTCGGGTTCGAGTCCCATGCCCATCCCTAATAGTGAGATGGAAAAAAGAGTTTCGTGAGTTGTTTATTACTGTAGTGGCAAGGTGACATTCAACAACTGTAGACACTTATTATCGTCCGAAGTTTTTTTTTAAATAATATAGTATAGGTTTTTTATTTTTTTTGAAACATATAGTTTTTTTAAAAAAAATCGGTTTTTGAATATATATATACAATATATAGTTTTTGAGAAATTTTAAAAATATATATAATATATAGTTTTTGAAAACATTTTGAAAACTTATATAATATATAGTTTTGAAAATATTTTGAAAATATATATATAATAATATATAGCTTTTAAAAATATTTTAAATATATATATATATATATATATATTATATAGTTTTGAAAACATTTTTGAAAACGTATATAATATATAGTTTTGAGTTTTTTTTGAAAACTATATAATATATAGTTTTGAAAACATTTTTAAAAAATATATATAATATATAGTTTTAAAATATTTTTGAAAAACATATATTATATAGTTTTGGAAAATATTTTTGAAAATATATATAATATATTATTATTATTATTATTTATCTTTATTTATATTTTTTTATTTATTATATTTTTATTTATTTTATTTTATTTTAATTCGATCCAGGTCCAACTTCAAGTCCAGCAAGGATGTTGGCTACTCAACCGAGTTGGCAGGCCTGACCCAGCAAGCCCACCCATATTAGGGTTTCAACATTTTTCAAAGCGTCGCAAGCAGAACAGTCGTTGGATCATATCAATTGATCCAACGACCCACAACAGATCAGGAAACTAGGGTTTACGAAACCCTAAGATATCACTTGCGCAACCAGATCTGGACCCAATCCAACGACCAGAAAACGATCTCAATAGGAACAACGCGTTACCAACTGGCTGAGATCCCTGGGACTGAACCATCACGGGGTGTTCGGTCAACCCACAACCACGAACAATCCACTAACATCTTAAAATAACCGATAACGATCCCGAGATCACCGAAAACGAACCACCGGAGATTCTGTCATGAAACACAAGGATCGGAGAGCAACCAAACACAAAGCAAACATAACACCACGACAAGAAAAAACCACAAATACGAGCAACGCAATCGCAGTATCCATCAAAATACCAAGAGAAACAAAACAATATATGGTAAAAATACGAATGTCGAGCGAAAAAAGAAAAATAGCAACACAAAAACGGTCGAAGCAAAGCAATGCAAGGATTAAACGGAGTGTCGGTCTCGGCTAGAGAGGGAAGAGCCACCGGAAGTTGAAAAGTTCATCGGGAAAGGTAAAACCCGAGAGTTCCCTTTTAGATCTAAGTCGATTGGGGCTTTTTGTGGTAATCGGACTGTGGTTTCGTGTTCACGAGGTTGGGGGAACATTTTGGGTATGGTAAGGAATTTTTCCGGAGAGCATTTGGGAGAGGTGTTGAGATTTTTTCTTATAGTTTGGTAAAAATGATATTTTTTGGTTTTGGACTATTTATAGAGGAGGGGCCACTATGTAATTAATTAATAGTTAAAATATTTATGCAGTACTGTAATATCCCAAAATTGGGGTTAATGACTAAATTGAAAGATTCTAAAATTTAGTGACCAATCTCAGAAAAGATTAAAAGTTTAGGGACTTAAATGAAAAATGTTGATGTTGGATTTAATAACAAAGTTTGAAAGTAATAAGGGTAAAATGGTCTTTTCTAAGGAAGGATTTTATTTCTCCCTTTATATAGGAGAGCAACACATGGTAATAGAGAGAAAGGAAAGAAAATTATGGAGCTTGTTTTATCTTCTTCCTCTTATCTTCTCTTCTCTTCTCTTCTCTTCTCGTAAGCTCCATGGAAAAGGTAAATTGGTTCCAAGTTGATTAATTCTTTTGTTTTAATGTTGGTTTTGATTCTTAGAGTGATAGAAAAGATTAAGGAAAGCTTAAGATGGATTAAAACTCAAAGATTATCAAGTTATGAGAGATTGAAAATAAGAGGTTTCAAGTTGAAATCTTGGAAAAGAGTTAGTAATTGAAGTTGGAAGTTAAATTTGACTTGTCATCAAGCTAATTAGGAAATATGAGGTGTTAGAATTAAATTTAGAACACGTTGGAAATTTAGTGTCAATCTTGAATGCCATGTAAATGATAGAATTTTAAGTTTAAAGAAGTGATTATGGAGTAGAAATGAGTTTAAGTATGTGTATGAAAGTTAGGTATATTAAAGGAAGTGAAGTATGAAGTATGGAGTTGAAAATGAAGTGATTTTCAAGCTCAAAACATGACTTCTGGGCTAGGGGAATCGGTACCC